TGGGACGTAACAGCTGAGACACGCTCAAAGGCAGCGTCAATGCTGTTGCAAAGGGCGTTGAAGGTTCTCTTGGCCGAATCGCTGACTTCAGAGCTGTCAATGACGAGTTGGAACTGAGCATTCTTCTCGGTCGAAACACCTTCGAATGTGATGTCGGCAGCGGGTGCAGGAGAATCAACAAAGAGAGCAAAGGCAGGATCGGACTCATCAATCTCAACATCAGGGTTGACAACACCAATGTCAGACTGGCTGAATGAGTCGCTAGCAGAACGCTCGACAACAGGAGCCTCATTCTTAGAGCTCTCGGGGAGGCTGAAGGAAGAAGAAGATTTTCCGGACAGAGCTTCGACATCGAGGGCCGGGCCCTCGGGAACCTCCATGACAGCAAATACGGGAGTGTTACCGTAGTTCATGTCGATTCCTGAGTTCCAGCCGGCGTTGTTCATGCCCATGCTGGAGTGGTCCATACCCTGGTTTGAAACCATGACCATGTTGGGCTGGGGGTTCTGCTGCATCTGGAACTCTTGGCCGCGGTTGGCGTTCGAGTCCTTAGGCATAGCCTGCATGTTGGGTGCAGCCTGCTGAACTTGTTGCTGTTGCTGGGGTTGTTGAGATTGCTGTTGAGGTTGAGCGGGCAAGGTGTCACCCATGTCGTTCAGGAAGTTGGAGAAGTGGGGAGATCCCAGGAGCATGCGGGCCAAGTCGTTCAGGCGGGCATTTTCTTCGTAAAGAGCGCGGTTCTGGAGGCGGATTTCGTGTGCCTCGTTGGTTCTAGCGGCCACCTCGCTTTCGAGTTGACCAATGTATTCTGGGCGAGATGTTAGCAAAAAGAACCTTATATACGTATTCAAGTGTTCAGGAAGTGATACCCTTGCGGCGAGATCGGAAAGCGCGAGCGGAAACCTTGTTCCGCAACTGGCGGCGCTCCTTGCTGCTGAGCTTTTTGCCCTCTTCGCTAGCGAGAAGACGCTCGTCTTCATCCATATCGGCCTCGTCCTTCCGGGCCTTGGCCATCTGCGGCATACCATTGGAAGGGCTGGGGGAGCCCTCGCCATTGGCCATGGCATTCTGTCGCATCTGTTGAAGTAGACGAGAGATACGCTCCTCGACGACGGGGTCGGGGTTACGGGGACCGCGGACCTGAGGCATAGCATGGCCCACTTGATCTGGACGCTGCTGTATCTGAGGACGGACCATCTCAATTTGCTTTTGTTGCTGTGCCTTGGCCATCGCAGCCTGCTGCTGATGCATGCCAGGGTACATACGACCGACTTGTGTGGACGGACCAGCCTGAGCCAGCTCATGGCCTCCGAGAGCGTTGGGATCGACATATTGGCTCTTGTTCCCAGGGTTTGCGGGGTAGAAGTATGGCGAAGGGTTCATAGTTTCGGGATCAATCTCCATCTCCGATGGGTTCCGGCCCGGTGCGGTGTTGAAGTCGAATTGGGCGTCCTCGCGCTTCATGTGATGACCAGCATACACTTCAGCGTTCACGGGAAATACTTGACCGTTGTTGAAGCCCATCGGGACCTGGCTGTAAGACATGGACAAAGCACCTGGTGGGAGACCAGTCTGTTGTCTGTGTTCGTCGTATTGGTGGCTTGGGGCCTGGAATGCTAGGGGAGACTGGCCACTTGAGGCGAAGCTGGCACTGCGGGCGTCACTGGCGCTGAACTCTGTACTTGCGACCGATGGTTGGCTGACCATAACCTTTGAGCGAGAGGGATCAGATGTGTAGGTGAGTTGATCAAAGTTGATGAATGAGTCGAGATCCTGGTCGTAGTTGGCCACTGGTTGCATAGGATGGTCTGCGAGAGTCGCCATGGTGATCTAGATAAGTGTCCCTCGTCTGTGTAGGGGGGGGGGTAGGCGTAAATAAGGCGTAAGATATGGGGTGAGATATGGGGTATAGGGGGGTATAACTGAGATAGGTTGAACGAGAGATAAAAAAGAGGGAGAATATAAAGATAAAGAGGATCCGAAAAACGAAGGTCTAAAGAAATATGGATTTGGATCTAGATGGATAGTGAACCTGGGAGTGAAATGGGGAAAAGGACAAAAGTGTTCCGGAATAGCAACAGGGGCTTGCGCGTCCTTTCTTAGTAAGCGGGGGCCTCAGGAATGCAGCCCCGTGATTGGCCCAATTGCCACTTGACGGGGTTTGTTTACCGTACCGTATCCCGGGAATGTTTTCACTATTTTCAGATCTATATGTAACATACAGATGTATACTCCAGCTACTATCTACTAATGAGCAATCAATTGCTTGAAAGACTGTATTTTGAGCCTTATTTGATAGCCTACTAGACATTCAATAGTCACAGTAACCCCCTGTTAATTCTTTTGCCGGTCAAACCTTCCAAGTGGGCCAATCTCAGGGCAGGAACCATCCGATCCCATTGGCCGTCGGGAGAAACTTGCCAAGCTCGGAGTTACTACAGCGTATGGTATTGTAACTGTACCTTTTTGTCCCTGTCATGACGCAGGTGGCTATGCCATGGGCTGTTTATCGAAGATTGTCCGCTTTAGTAAACTGTACATTCCTGTTGACTTCATGTTGGCTTGGATCAGCTAGAGATGCGCGAGCATATACTAGTATTTTTAGGTCCTGAAACTTCGATCTTCAAAGACAAAAACCTACTAGGCTTGTTCAGACTAACGGTGACTATCACAGCTAGCGGCGTTCGGGGCTGAGCCGATTATTTCGAGTGGCACCGGGTGCGCCAAGCGGTGGGCTCACTCTGGAAAATATGTACAGAAAGAATACTTTGTACACTTTGTATAACACACAATATCCAGAGTACATGACCCCTGACCCATAATAATACTGACAATGTACATTGTGTACGGAGATGTACCCATATGCGCAGATTATGATCCAGGGTGCGCCTTCCATATTCCCATGTATTGACAAGAATCCCTTGTTTCAAACCCAGGATGTACGTATGCTGGCGTCTCGCCGGAACATACACGGCCAATTGAGCCGAGCCCTAAGTGCCGGCTAGACCGGTGTGAACCAGTCAAAGACGTAAAGTGGGAGTCCGGCCCTCTCCTGCCCCGTTTGAGAATCACAATAAGCTTTCTAGAGTCGGAGCGGGTCGGCGAGAAGGTCCTAAAGGAGATCGAACGGCCATTCAAGCTCGGTGATCCGTGCACGTGAGGAGATGAGCTGTTCCTAATGCGGCTAGCTTGTCCGACCCTATTAAACACTAAATCTCTGCCTGTCGATCCCCGAAGGATGCCCGAGGCCCTGCTCATAAATTATTATCCACGAATTCCGAGGTTGACTCCGTAGAATATTCCTCCATTTCCAAGGTTTCTATCAAGTTGCCTCTTTGGATTGCCCCTGAACCTTAACCAGGCGAAACAACACACCGTGGAATAGCTCGTTATTGCCCCTTTTTGTTTTATCCTACCGAAGAATCAACTTTCCCCTGAGCCTCGACTCTTCGGCAGCCCGCTCTGGTGGTGAACAGAGATCATCTCGATCTATGGCACTCCGTACTACACACAACATAGGTAGGGCTGTTTCAGATTACCATTGATCCAGCCGCTTAGAGTGACCGCGTGCAAAGAGGCTGAGCTAGTTATGCGCCTCCGTGCCTGAACAGCCACTAGCAGTAGCTTGTTCCTTATTAAAAATAGATATTGGAAATTTTCTCAGGCACGGCATTTCACTAGGGTCGATCATGCCGATACATAAACGGTGATCACTGATTTTTGAGTCGAACTAGTAAGTATTTACAATTTTTGAAGTCTCTGCAAGAACGCCTCTTTGTGCGGATCCTTCATCAAACTGTTTTGAGTCTCGGGCAGTGGATCTAGGCCATTGGCTCGATCTGCCTCCACATCCGGCAATTACTCCCTTACCAACATGATATTTGCCTGACCGTTCATATGATTGATTCTCGTGGCATGGTTCGGGTACACACGTATGCTACCTCCGCTAATGCAATCACGGTCTAGACTATTTCTCTTCCTTCTACCCATTGTCAGGTTGTCTGACGCCTCCTGCACCCTGATCTCCCGGCCCTTCAACCCTCAAGACCCTACACTATGTACCCTGCCAACGGGTCCCTTTTCTGGTTGTCTGACGACTCATTCCATTCCAGACCCGCTCAGATTTGAAATGAGTCTGGGTTTGTTCGAGACTGTTGAACGATTTGGTGGAGATGCAGAAATTAGGTCTAGATCTGGTGAAGCTTATTGTGGACAATGAGTAGAATTTGGTTCTGTCACTCCGATGCTCGACTGGAGATCTTGATCGATCAGTCTAGACTTTGTTTGTTTGGGTATTGAGAACTTGACCTGGTCCTACCCGGTCCTCTGTGATATGGAGCAGAAAATATGAAGCGGAATTGAGCACATTTACGTGTCGTTATGGACTTTTACTTTTCGTGTTACTGGCATTTGGACGAGAGAGTAGGGTTAGCCCTCGACAATTTAGTTCCCGGCGTCTATCAGACGTACTGCATCCTCTCTAGAACTTCTATTTAGAATTTCTATCTAGAAAATTAAAGACTATGTCTTGTCAGATACCTACAGATTGAAGAAAAAGAAAAACTTCCCCAGCGACTTTCACTCAACTTGTTTAGATTTCTTATGTTGTTGTACCGTTGTTCCCCAATATATATTTCTAGTTTGGTTGACTTAACCATAACAACACACAAAATTTAAGAACTATCACCCCCATTGAGACCATATATACGTAAGTACATATATGTACGACCTCCCATGATTTACTGAATAACTCATATAGCAAAATACAGCACAATGATGCAAAGAGCGACGCCAAGGAATATAAATTGCCTTAGGCACCGAACCATTCCTCTTTCGGTCCCCGACCCCATAATGGCCGTCAAGTAGCATCAGAGTCGTTCGTATTCGATTCGATGACTCGATCAATGAGAAGTTCAATGTGATCATAGTGGCGCATTTTGATTCTGCATAGGGGCTTGAGCGTGGCCGCCATTGCTACTACATACATGTAGTTGTCTTATATGAACCCCCGCCCGAACTTCGGCAACTACTTCAGATATCCAACACTTGGACCTGGCGAAAACCACTCGAATACCAAGAACCCTAACCCGTCTGCTGAAGCCATGACATCGGCTCCCACAATTCTGGCCACGTGCAAGCAGACACGATTTCATCTGCTAGATGATAATCCTTCGCAGGAGGTATGGGTAGCCACAACAATGACCCAGATGACTATTAACGTTCAAATATGTTCTATTGACAGATCGATGTGGATGGACTTAACATCATAGTCACATCATCTGCACCTGAATCCACCGAAGATGCCTCAAAGCCAAAGCCCAAAGGAAAATCAAAGGTCAAGGCTGCAGGGAGAGAGCTCATATCAGACGCGCACCTACGACTCAAGGCAGGCGTTCACTATGGGTTACTAGGTCGCAACGGAACTGGGAAGTCAAGTGAGACAGACCTCCGCAAGTACTCTCTACAAATCTCAGTATACTGATGGTACCAGCGCTGCTCCGGGCAATGGCCGAGAAACTCATTCCTGGCATCCCGCATGCGACTCGCATGGCTATTTTGCAGCAAACAGACCAGCAGGATGACGTCACATTCGGCGAAGACCATAATCAGGACAAAACTGTTTTGGAAGCCGTTCTCAGCAGCGATGAAAGTAGGAACGAGGCTGTTCGGATGGCAGAATGTCAGTATGCCTATTCAATTGGGGTTGTACTTGACTGACTTTTGAAAGTTCTATCGAAGAGTTTTGAGACTGAAGATCCAATGCAACCCGTCCGGGCGATCCGCAAGATCCGGCACCAGAAAGCAGAAAAGCATCTCTTTCTGGCACACAAGAACGCAAGCCTGAAAAGCGGTGCTCGGGGTCTACAAGCAAGAAAAGACCTGAAGGCTGCCGAGGGGAAGCTCGAGACTGCATCGGAGATGTAAGTTGCATTCAGTCGCGCTAGAGACTATATCTAACTTCTTCCAGGTTGGCCCAGGATGTAGCCGCTATCGATGCGGAAATAGTCCAGTCGGATACCCAAGCTGCCGTCGAGACACTACAAAATTTACAGTCTCAAATCGAAGACGTAAGTCTTCGTAGGATGACCATTCACCTGCTCCGCTAACATGAAACAAGATGAAACTTGCCGATATGAAGCAACAAGCCCGTCGCGTTCTCCTTGGTCTCGGCTTCAAAGAAGACGGATTCGAGAAGAAAAAGTCTCTACGCTCTCGGGTGGTTGGCGTATGCGATGTATGCTAGCCAGCGTTCTGGTCCAAGACCCCGACATCATGATCCTAGATGAGCCGACCAACTTCCTCGATCTGCTAGGAGTAGTGTGGCTGGAGAATTACCTGAAACAACTCCGCGACACATCAGAAACAACCATCGTCTTGGTTTCACACGACAGAGATTTCATCAATGCTGTCTGCGAGGAGATTGTCATTCTGCGAGATCAGAAATTGACATATTTCCGAGGGAACCTGTCTGCATACGAGCAAGATTTCGAGGAACAGAAGCTCTACCTGGGGCGCATGAAGGAGGCTCAAGAACGGCAGGTTGCGCATATGGAAGCTAGTATCCGGGAGAATATGAAAATTGGAAAGAAGACCAATGACGAAAATAAGCTGCGACAAGCCAAGTCGCGGCAGAAAAAGGTCGATGATCGGATGGGTCTTCAAGTCAGCGCAAACGGGGGACGTTTCAAGCTGAACCGAGATCTAGTCGGATGGCATCTCCACAATCGGGCTGAGATCGACGTTCCGACAGATGAAAAGGGCGCGACTATGAGCTTGCCCGATGCGACGGAGTTGCGGTTCCCTGGGCCGCTGGTATCGCTTGAGGGTATTGTCTTCCAGTACAAGAAAACCGACCGCGTCATCCTAGATGACGTGAACTTGGTTGTTCACCTGGGTGATCGTGTCGGAATTCTGGGTCTCAATGGATCGGGGAAAACAACGCTGCTCCGTGTTTTGACGGGACAGGTGTCTCCTTCCAAGGGCAAGGTGTCGACTCACTCCCGGTTGAAAGTTGGCTACTATAGCCAACACTCCGTTGAAGAGCTGCAAGAACGCGGCCGAGGGGAGCCTAGCTTAACTGCGCTGGGTTTGTTGACGATTGAGACTGAAGGATCGCTGAACGAGGGCGCTATCAGAGGTCTACTGTCTTCAATGGGGTTAGCAGGTCGTATTGCATCTGATGTCCCTGTGGCCAAGCTGTCAGGTGGACAACTGGTATGTGAAACATGAAAGATCAATGTGGAACATTGAAGCAAGCTAATAATATCGTCAATTTAGGTCCGCCTTGCATTAGCTCGAATCGTCTGGAGTGCACCACAACTTCTGATTCTTGATGAAATCACCACACATCTGGATTTCCACACTGTCACTGCATTAGCTACGGCTCTCTCCTCCTTCAATGGCGCCGTGCTACTAATTTCACACGATCGTTTCCTCGTTCGATCTGTAATTGAGGGCAAGCGAGATACCGAGCACAAGCTTGATGAAGATTTCGAAGGGCTGGAGGAGGAAGAGACCGAAGAAACGCCGAGGCGCCGGTCGATCTATGTGATTAAACAAGGCAAGATGAACGAACAGAAGAATGGGGTGGAGCAGTTCGAAAAGAGCCTGGTGAAGAGGGTACAGAAGTTGTTAGCGACTATAGTTTAGTTAGTTAACTAACTAAATGGCTGATGTCGTGCCTCCATGACCAATTATTCTTCCGCGGGTGAAGATATGATATCATGACTCAGCACGGAGCCCGCCGAGAGGCATGTGCGATAAGAGACATTCCCCTCATTCCTCCGCGGAGTATCTCATTGCATATATATTTGCCCCAACATGCACCATTTTACCCCTTGAAAGAACTTCCTCATGGCTGGCTTGTGCAAGCGGATCTTGTCTTGCCCTAGGGTTGCCCGTCAGTGGGGCATACAGACTCGACTTCAGAGCACTCGCGCCGCATCAAGACCTAACGCCACCGTCGTCCCTGAATTGCCTCCTCCGCATCCCGCAACTGAACCCTCCAAACCGTCAAAATTCAAATCCACGAAGCCCTTCTCCGAATTCCTCACCGATACCTTCAATCGGCAACATGACTATCTCCGCATTAGCGTCACGGAACGGTGCAATCTTCGGTGTCTGTATTGCATGCCCGAGGAAGGCATAGACCTCTCGCCCTCTACAAAACTACTCACATCCCCGGAGATCCTATACTTGTCCTCGCTATTCGTCTCACAAGGCGTGACCAAGATCCGATTAACCGGCGGGGAACCGACGGTCCGCAAAGACATCGTGCCATTGATGCAGGACATTGGCAAGCTGCGACAAAATGGGCTTCGGGAACTGTGTCTAACAACCAACGGGATCTCATTACATCGAAAATTGGACTCAATGGTGGAGGCTGGGCTGACGGGAGTCAACCTCAGCCTTGACACGCTGGATCCATTCCAGTTCCAGATCATGACGAGACGCAAGGGATTCGATGCTGTGATGAAGAGCATCGACCGCATTCTGGAAATGAATAAGGTCGGTGCGGGGATCAAGCTGAAGATCAATTGTGTTGTTATGAGGGGAATGAACGACCGAGAGATCCTTCCGTTCGTGGAACTGGGCCGCGAGAAGCCGGTTGAAGTGCGCTTCATCGAGTACATGCCTTTCGGCGGAAACAAATGGAACCAGGAAAAGATGTTCTCATATCAGGAGATGCTGGCTGTTATCCGGGAGAAGTATTCAACGTTCGAAAAAGTGGCCGACCACAAGAATGACACGAGTAAGACATACCGTGTTCCTGGCTTCGAGGGCCGCGTGGGATTTATCACGAGCATGACACACAATTTCTGTGGTACCTGCAATAGGTTACGCATTACTAGCGACGGGAATCTCAAAGTCTGTCTGTTCGGTAACTCTGAAGTCTCCTTGCGGGATATCATTCGTAAGGAGAATGGTGGGAGCCCGATTGACGTGGATGCAATGAACAACCTGCAGCTGTTGGAAACAGTACAAAACGCAGCACGCCTTAGCGACGAAGGCGGCTTGGTGAATGAACGAGAACGTGAGATTCTCGACATCATCGGCATGGCAGTGAAACGAAAGAAGGCGAAACACGCCGGCATGGCACAACTTAAGGATATGAAGAACCGTCCTATGATCTTGATTGGTGGGTAGCCTTTTGTTTTTTTTTCTTGATGATTGGAAACGCTTTACGACTTGTAGATCATCCATATGAACATTTCTTTTGGATCTCATGGAATTGGCGATATTTTGATACCATGTATACATGCAATTGATGTGTTTGGACATTGTTTGAATCATTAAGCTGATAGATGAACTAGATAATAAACCGCTATGGAGGTCAGGGTGTCACTCTTGGTCTTCCATACCAGTACATGTACTTTCGCATCTCCCTACATCTTCCCAAAGTCGTCTCTACCACTCCAGGCGCTCTAAGCCAGAGACCACAGACTGTACTTCTCGCCCATCTCCCTCTCTACCCACCACCTCAGACACCGACCTCCCTCACCTTACACCATCCAAGACCGTACACATGACACAGATCACCGAAAAGCCCGAAACAAAGCGCGTCGCCACAGCCGCCTGCACCGTCTCCTTCTCAAACGCCCGACCCTGGGAAATCCTCCGCGAAGGCCAAACCACGCACAAAGGCGACGTCTTCAGCGTCGCCCGGATCGCGGGTATCATGGCCGCCAAAAGAACGCCCGATATTGTGCCCCTTTGCCATCCTGGCATTGGTATCACCGGAGTCGAGGTCAGCGTGGAACTCGTTGGGCCTGCGGGAGACAGGGATCACGGCGCCATGCATGTCGTGGCGTCGGTCAGCTGCTTCGGTCGCACAGGCGTGGAAATGGAGGCTATGACGGCTACTATGGGTGCGGCTTTGACGGTTTATGATATGCTCAAGGCTGTGGATAAGGGGATGGTTATTGATTCTGTCCGATTGTTGGAGAAACAGGGTGGGAAGAGTGGGCATTGGGTACGGGAATAGACTTGTATAGTTGGTGTAGAGTATTTGGTAGGTACTTGATTGCTTTGTAGTATAGACTCTCTCTTTAATTAAAGTGGATGTTCTATCTCTTCTCCATATTGCAATAGCCCTAATACCCCTTGAGCCTATCTATACCCGCGGATCAGCCCTATGGGCCGTTTAAATTCTCCTGGGCTTCACCGTATTTTCATTTCTATTTTTTCTTTCACAGCCAATGGTCTGTATATGATTGGCGATATACAACTGTAGCAATCGTTTCTCCTTTCTGCATTCCTCTACGTGGCCATGGCTCATGGCCCAAGACATTTTCGAGCCCACATCACTCAAATCGGCTTAGCCTTGCAGTCGAGGTTTTGCAATTTTCCTTTTTTCCCTTCAAACATATGAGAATTCTTAGAAATTCGTCTGTTGGAGGCTTTTCGTCCCAATCCGAGACCGCTGGGGTTGTGTGGGTGTATTTGAAAACCCTGCAAAAAAATAAAACCCCCTTCGTTTCATCATTACATCGACAACGCCTCAGCGGCAACGAGTTCAGCACAAAAACACAGGCTGTGCTTTATCGACGAGCCTGTCGAATTTTGTCGCCGAACTAGAATGCATGCATTGTTGATCCGTATGTGCGCCTGGGTCACTTGCATCAAATTCAACTAACCACTTTATACAGTTCGCAAGTGGCGGAGGAAAACCGGGAGCGCCATAATGGCAGTGCTCCCGCCCTTGAATTTCTTGACGCTACACTATTCATATTTCATTGCGACATGCATCATAGCCAGTATCATTTTCTACCTGACATCGACGCCATGGCGCAGCGTTGCCTATGTGGATTCGATTTTCATGTGCGTTAGTGCTATGACGGGTGCCGGACTGAATACGGTATGGACTGAATCTCATGGCTATATTTCGCCGAGGCTAATAACCTGACCAGGTGGATCTGTCGACTCTGAACAGCTTCCAACAAGCAGTTTTGTTCACTTTGCTTATCCTGGGCCATGCCATTCTCATCTCCCTCACTGTACTTCTAGTACGTAAGAGGGCCTTCGAGGCGAAGTTCAAGGGTGTCTCCGATGAGCGGGAAAGAGAGCGATCTACTCGTAACCCCTCAGTAGTTGAACTACAGGTCAGGGACCGAGATCCCGCCCATGCAAGCACCGGAGTTGATCTCCTCGACGAGAGCATCGAAGGACACGGCTGTAAACCACGCCCAAAGACAACCGTGCTGGTCCAAACGATTCCGGGAGAGTCATCATCCCGTAATGAGCAGATATGGGTGGACGACGACCAGATAACCGTCGGCGGCACACCCCGTCATCATCACCACCGAGTCTTCCCTATGGCTGGCATCGGGGCGAGACCGGATCTGAATAACCACCCGCGCGACGCAGCGCCTAATGTACCCTTGGTCATGAAGGACTCGGTGTCTGGCCTCAAGGGAATCCTCCGCGGTACACAGAAGTACATAGCCTCCAAGGGACTTGTGTCCCGCAACTCCCAGTTCCACGATCTCACTCCTGCCGAGCGTGAGGAACTAGGCGGTGTCGAGTACAAGGCCGTCTCGTTTCTGTCTGTGGTCGTGTTCCTTTACTTCATCTTGTTTATTATATTCGGCATGGTCGGTGTCGGTGGCTGGCTGGAAGCTAATGATCCCACCGTGACGCGCACGAACGGCCTCTCACCTTTCTGGACGGGTGCTTTCTTTGCTGTTTCCGCTTTCGTGAACAGTGGCATGTCGCTCCTGGACGCGAATATGACTGCTTTGCAGTTGAGGTAGGTGCTCTAGACCGCTCGTGTCAATATTCAAAGTTGCTGATCTTCTCCAGGGCTTACCCACTTCTCACAATGGGATTTCTGATCCTAGCTGGAAATACCCTCTTCCCATGTTTCCTGCGGTTCATTATCTGGACCATGAGGGTCATGCTTCCGGATCGGCCGATGTGGCAGTCGTGGCGCATAACCCTTGATTTCATCCTAGAGCATCCTCGAAGGGTCAGTCATTGAATTACTCTAATAGCTTGCAGAATATAGACTTATCATGAAGCAGGTCTATACGAATCTCTTCCCTGCTCGCCATACGTGGTATCTGCTCGGTACGATTATCATTCTGAACGGTGTCGACTGGGCAGCATTTGAGCTACTGTCCATTGGAAACAAGGACATTGAGACTCTTCCTACCGAGTACCGTGTGTTGGATGGACTATTCCAAGCCCTAGGTTTGTCAATCAATATCAGCAACAGCGTCATATCTGAACCAGCTAACAAATTATCTCGAGTAAAGCGGTGCGCGCTGGTGGATTCTACGTCGTAACCATTGCCGATCTTCGCCAGGGTCTCTTGGTTCTATATGGTAAGTGCTTTCAATCTCGTCCGTCTGTAATATCATGCTAACAACCTCTAGTACTCATGATGGTAAGACCTACTAGTATCACACCCATACACCAATCCCAAACTAACATCTCACTCAGTACGTCTCCGCGTACCCAGTAACACTCACAATACGGCAAGTACCCCCGAACCCAACCCACATAGAAACCACAATCTAACACCCACTCAGCAACACAAACGTCTACGAAGAACGCTCGCTAGGAATCTACGCACACGACGAATCCCCCGACTCACCGGCGAACACAAGCCGCAGCAACGTAGTAATGGACCTAATCCGACAGCACCTCGGCCGCCCGGGCCCGTCCGAGACATCGCGCGGCTACTTCCTGCACCAACAGCTGCGTTCCCAGCTCAGCCATGACCTGTGGTGGATCGCGCTGGCGGTGTTCTTCATCGCCATCGCCGAATCAGACCACTACAACAACCAGCCCGTGGCGTTCTCCACCTTCAATATCATCTTCGAGGTTGTCTCTGCGTACGGCTGTGTCGGTGTGAGCCTTGGGTTCCCCGGGAAGAATTACTCGTTCTGTGGTGCCTGGCATACGATTAGCAAGTTGATTCTTGCTGCTGTGGCTTTGCGTGGTCGGCATCGGGGTTTGCCCGTGGCTATTGATAAGGCTATTATGTTGCCTAGTGAGTCTTTGGCTTGGGCGGAGGAGGAAGATGCTGCTATGCGGAGGGATAGGTCTAGGGTCTGGGCCCAGGAGAATGGACCTGTTGGGTCTGTTTAGATGGTGATTTTCAATATACCCCCTTTTGTTTGGCCATTTTATTGTTTAGACTGTTTCCACGGTGCGTGGATTTATGAGACCCATGATGATATGACATTTTGAAGATAAATAATTCTTTTATAGGACTGAGTAGCTACCCATGGTGTATCCTGGTAAACAAAGTAGACATATGCAATAACCGTGTGAAGTAGATGGACATCGGGGACATGGACAAGGAGATATACAAATTAACAAAAAATTAGACGATCTACTCGTCCTCCATCTCCATCTCGTCTTCATCTTCATCTTCACTCTCGATCTCGGCTTCCTCCTCGCTCTCCAATTCCTCCTCACCCTCATCCTCGCTGCCATCATCACTGCCAGCAACACCGCCCATATCCTCATCATCTGCATCGTTCTTCTTCGCCTCCTGTCTCCGCTTCTCTTCCTCAATACGACCTTCTTCGAGGACAGCAGCACGCTCATCACGCAGCCTACGCTGCGTCTTAACGAACGCACCGACAGGAGTAGTCTCCCAGTCAACATCCTTGAGGAAAGACTCGACGCTAGAGCGGTTGCGGGGAGCATACGAGACGTTCAGACGGCGCTCCTCGATCCAGCGGGCATTGGCCTCGACCTTCTGCACGAGCAGCAAGATCATCTGGTTGACCTTGGCGTTCTTGTTTCCACCGCTGCGGGCAGAGACCTGCTTCAGCCAGCGCTTGAGTGAGACAATGACGGGCACGGACAGTTCCGGGAACGCAATGTGCTTGGACCACAGGACGAAGAACTCGGAAAGGAGTTCCGTGACCTGCTCACCGATGCCGTCCTGGTAAATGCGCGAGCGCAGGTAGGATTTAGGCGCGCGGATCGCTGTGTTGAAGTCCAGGGGCTTGAGCGTGCTGGACTTGGCGGGCTTGCGCATCTCCGCTGAGGTCAGAACCTCGAGAAGGGAAGCTGAGAGCGGGATATAGGTGCCTGTGGCACGGGAGATGCGGAGCAGGGAGCGCGTCAATTGGAAGCGCAGGGGGAAGTACGTGGCGGTGGGGATGAGGCGCATGGCGCCCAGGGTGATTTGCACGACGGGGTAGATAAGGGGGCGCAGAGCGGACTGCTTGCCGATTTGGGCCTCGACAAGGCCATCGCAGTGCTGTGAAAGCACACGAGACCAGAAGTCCAGTGAGTGCACGTATTGCCAGTTGTAGATGGTCTTGTAGGACTCCTTGGAGGTGTGGGTAATGCTCTTGCGCAAGTGCATAGCAAGCTGGCGGATGAAGGAGAATCCTGCTGTGTATGAGACGTTCTGGTCAATGCCCCAGATTTCGGCTGCGGAGTTCTTCATCAAGTTCACGCCTGCCAGAGTGTGCACCGTAGTGTTGCGGCTGCCCTTGACAACACCCTCGTAGGTGGCCTTGAGCACACTCTCCCTGATACCAGCATCTCCTAGAACCATAAGGCGGCGGAGAATCAGGAAACCTGTGATACGGGTGGCGTCGGCCGTGGACACATCAGACCAAATCCCGACGACAATCTTGACGAGTGTCTTCAGCACCTTGCGGAACTGAAGAAGGTAAGGCAGCATAGGCTCAATTGACGCGAGGGTCAACTTGAGTGTCGATGCATCCGACAAGTTAATCAGAAGCTGGTGAACTGAAGCAGTGTGCGATTTGATCAGAGGTGTGAGGGTCTTAAATTTCTTGGAATCCAATGAGACCCTGATCTTGCCAGAAGCACTCTCCTTGACGGGGAGATGATGGGCCAGGACCTTGGGGATGGTGTTGAGGGCCGTGATAAGAACCTGGTGGTACACGTTCTTGTCGGAGATGGTGTATTTTTGCTCGGGGGCATCGGGGTCATTGACATAGGCGGCCGCACGGAATGCGAGCACAGCCTGGCGCATAGCTCGGATCG